AAACGTCCTAAGCCGCAGTTCCTTTTACCGCCAGAGGTGGCGGCATCGGCTGAAAATGTGTCTGTAAGCAGAAGAAGAACATCAACAACACCATGGGGGCTGTTACTGATGGTAAGTAATTGTGCGATTCATTCGTTTTATCTCTTAGTTAAAATTCATTTTCTGTTACCGTCTTCTCAACCCTGTAAAGAATCAATACATAAGAGTGGTTTAATTATCAACCGCCATTAAATTCCACACGAAAAGCCGTCTTTACCGAGAGCAGCTGGCATGCTAACAGTTAGCTAAGTCAGTGGCTTTCCAGTAGCACAGCTTTGAGCGTGCTCACTTACCCTCCCCTGGTCTGTGTCACAGATGAAGTTATAAGAAAGCGTCTTCTCATTGACGGTGACGGAGCTGGAGATGACCGCAGAATCAACCTGCTGTTGAAGAGCTTCACGAAATGGTGCCACTCTCCGGGGAGCCCGGAGGAAGGGTGAGCGAGTTCACACACACAGGCTGGAACTCGGTGTGTTGGCCCATTAAATTAAATCTTTTCTTGAATTGCTAAGCATGTGACATATTTAATGCTAACCACACGTTTGGAGGAATTGTAACAGTGCTTCAAAGGTCCTCAAACATTTCCAGTAATAGAAAAGAAAATATGATGTGGAAAGACAGTTTGTCGCTTATCACCTGTCATCTGGACCAGAGTAGAAATACATTTATAGTGAGATTTTATTTATTATTAAAACGGGCCAAGAAGGACAGGGATGTTTGACAATTTACTGCAGGATTTTGAAACGCATTCAAGAAATCCTGTTTTTGGTGTTTCTGTGTGTTTAGATTTACCCAGTATCAGAGGATGCTGGGAACTCTGGCTCAGTGTGAGTTTTCTATGGGGAAAACGTTGATGGTTTACGACATGAATCTTCGGGAAATGGAGAATTACGAGAAGATTTACTCAAACATCGGTAGGAACTGATTCACACTATCCGAGTCTGTAATGTTGACATCTTTTGGCAAATAACTAACTAAAATGTTTGTTTTTTTTAATTCAAGAGCAAAACATCACGTCCGCTCATGACAAGATTGCAGAATGCAAAAAAGAAATACAGAGAGCGAAGAGAATACGAAAAAATCGACAAGGTAAAGTTCTTTGATGTTTTGTACTTTTACAATATCTGGGAAAGTATTGATGAGCTTTTAAACGTCATACAAGTAAACGTCAAAGTGTTTTACTGGGATTTTATGTGGTTGAAAAAGTTGCGCATAACTGATGTGGAAGCAAAAAAAACAAAACACTATTTTACTGTATTCTACTAGGGAAATAGTTCTACTTTTTATGTTTAGTTGTTTTGGATTATTTGAATCTTGTAAACATTTTCATGTGTTCTTCCAGAATATGACGCTTTGGCAAAGATAATCCAGCAGCATCCAGACAGGCATGAAACTCTCAAGTAAGCCAGCATTTTATAATCCAAGTCATCTTTTGTTTTTAGATCTTTTTTTTTTCTAAAGTAATGTTTTGTTTTCAATCAATCAATCAATCAAATTTTATTTGTATAGCACATTTCAGCTACAAGGCATTTCAAAGTGCTTTACATCATAAACACAAAACACAAAGGCATGCAACATAGAATAAAATACCAAGGTTTTTTTTTTCTTCCCTCTTTTCCTTTCTTCCCCCTTCCCTTTGACACGGAATTTAAGCGCCTGTTACCGCCGGACTCCGCCGTCCGTTTAACCACGGGTATTTGCCGGGCCCCGTTGCCCACAACAGAAAAAAATAAAAATAAATAATTACATACATATCCACAAAATCAAATTCATACATATTACATTTCAAATGCAACTCTAAAAAGGTGCGTTTTTACTTGAGATTTGAAGGAAGTCAGGGTTTCCGCTGTTTTACAGTTTTCTGGAAGTTGTTCCAAATTTTTGGTCCATAGATGCTGAAAGCTGCTTCTCCTCTTGGTTCTGGTTCTGGGGATGCAGAGCAGACCAGAACCAGAAGACCTGAGAGGTCTGGAAGGTTGATACAACAACAGCAGATCTTTAATGTATTGTGGTGCTAAACCGTTCAGTGATTTGTAAACTAACAACAGTATTTTAAATCTATTCTTTGAGCTACAGGGAGTGCCAGTGGAGGGACTTTAAAACTGGTGTTATGTGCTCTATTTTCCTGGTTCTAGTGAGAACGCGAGCAGCAGCTTCTGGATCAACTGCGGCTGTTTGATTGATTTGTTGGACAGGCCTGTGAAGATGCTGTTGCAATAATCAAAGCGACTAAAGACAAACGCATGAATGAGTTTCTCTAGATCTGGCTGAGACATTAGTCCTCTAATCCTGGAGATGTTCTTCAGGTGATAGAAGGCCGATTTTGTTACTGTCTTTATGTGGCTCTGGAGGTTCAAGTCCGAGTTCATCACTACTCCCAGGTTTCGGGCCTGATCGCTAGGTTTTAGTTGTAATAACTGAAGCTGTGCATTGACTCTAGATCGTTCCTCTTTAGGTCCAAAAATAATGACTTCAGTTTTATTTTTGTTCAGTTGGAGAAAGTTTTGGCACATCCACACATTTATCTGCTCTAAGCATTTATTCAGTGATTGGATGGGTTCAGAGTCACCTGGTGACATCGTAATGTAGCTGTGTCATCCGCATAGTTGTGGTAGCTAATATTATTTATGACCTGAGCTAGTGGGAGAATATAAATATTAAATAAGAGGGGTCCTAGGATTGAACCTTGGGGTACCCACATGTGACCTTTGACCTCTTTGATGAGAAGTTTCCAATTGAAACAAAGAAATCCCTGTTCTTTATGTAGGATTCAAACCAGTCGAGCACCGAAACAGAGAGTCCAACCCAACTTTCAAGTTGATTCAGTAATATGTCATGGTCGACAGTGTCAAAAGCTGCACTGAGGTCCAACAGAACCAGCACCGTGGTTCTCCCACAGTCCGTATTTATATGGATATCATTGAATACTTTTACGAGGGCAGTCTCCGTGCTGTGGTGAGCACGAAAACCAGACTGGAAAGTGTCAAAGCAGTTGGTCATCATGAGGAAAACTATTTAATTGTTTACACACAGTTTTTTCAATAACTTTGCTGATGAATGGGAGGTTTGAGATTGGCCTGTAATTCTGCAATAGTGATTTGTCCAGGCTGTTCTTTTTTAACAGTGGTTTGATTACTGCTGTTTTCAAAGCCTGGGGGAAAACACCTGATGTAAGCGATGAGTTTACGATTTGGATCAGATCAGTAGCAATAACAGGCAGGACTTTCTTAAAGAAATGTGTGGGTAGGACATCCAGACAGCAGGAGCTTGAACTTAATTGACTTATAATTTCTTCTAGAGTTTTATAATTAAGTAGTTGAAAATGGGTCATTTTTTCTGTATTTGTTTTGTTTTGGTACAGCAATGGTTCTGGCTTTGAAGTTGATGTGCAGATTAATCCTCTGATTTTTTGGATTTTCTCTGAAAAGAAATCAGAAAACGTATTACAGGCAACATTAGATTGGAATTCAGGTGGAAACGTCACAGGAGGGTTTGTGAGCCTGTCAACTGTTGCAAATAAAGTTCGAGCATTATTGATGTTTTTGTTTATGACATCTGCAAAGAAAGCCTCCCTTCCATGTTTTAGTGTTAAGTGATAGTTACGTAGTTTTTCTTTGTAGATGTCGTGATGAAACGTGAAGTTGAGTTTTACGCCATTGTCGTTCTGCCCTGCGGCAGACTTGTCTTGCAGACCGAACTATTTGTGCATTTCTCCATGGAGATTTCTTTCTACCAGTCAAAACCTTTACTTTAATTGGGGCAATGGAATCAATGATATATGAAACTTTAGACTGAAAATCATCTAACAACTGATCTACATCATTACAGCTTAAGGGTGAGGAGGAAGAGTAGATTTGATTAAATGTTTCTGCTGTGTTTTCTGTGAAAGAACTTTTTCTGACAGTAGCTGTTTGTCCAAGTGGGTCAAAGAATAAAGAACCTTCAAAGATACAGCGAAGTGATCCGACAGGGCGACATCAGTTACAGACATTGGAAAATATCCACACCCTTACTGATAACCAGGTCCAGTGTGTGTCCTTGAGTGTGTGTTGCTTGTTTAACATGTTGTGTTAAACCAAAATTTTGTTTACTTAAAGGCAGCTGGAGGCATTAGACAAAGAACTCCAACATTTGTCTCACATTAAAGAGAACGTGGATGCAAAGGTAAAGAAAAATTATTTATTCTCTCTTCTCTTTAGACATAAGTTTCTTTCGGGTTTTTTTGACACCTGTCTTCTGTTCAGTTGGAGTTGAGGAAGAAGCAGTTCCATGTTCTTCTCACCACCATTCAGGAGCTACAGCAGACACTTGAGAGTAAGGATTTATTTTTCTCTAGTGGCACTTACATTTCAAACTGTAATGTATGAAAACCAAAACCCTCCCTACATTGCTTATCGTTACTTTTCCCAGATGACGAGAAATTAGACGACGACCAAAGTCAGGAGAGCCCTGCACAGAATGGAGAATGAAATCTTTCTAGATTTTTTAACGGAACTGATTTTAAGAATCGCTCTTTTTTTTGTATGTACTTTTTGAATAAACTTGACTTGCACATATGTGGTTTTTGTGTGTATTTGATGCATTTGACATGCATTTTAAATTTTATTTATTACACACTGCATACCAAACAAAGATCAGAGTGATATAAATATTATAGGAGTAGAAATTAAGATTTAAAAAGTTTGGATTTGCATTTTGGATTTTCTCAGTTCAAAATATTTTTTCTGCATCTAATCAATGAATTGCAGCTCAGTTCTGCAATAAACTGGTTTCTTTTTGGAGAATTAAAGTACTGTATGTGTCCATCTACTTGCTTTCATTTGAAGTTTTTAGATTTGAGTCAAACGTCCACAAGGGTGCGCTAAAGTCCATTTGAGTTCACTGCTGGGTTTTGAGCAGTTACAGCAACGCATTACCTTCCATTAAACTTAGTTTTGTACATCGACAGCAAGACAAAAGGATTTAAATTGTTCAAAGCTTTCTTTAAATTTATTCTTAAGACAGAATTCTGTTAAGAAAATGTATACTAGAAAAAAATAAACATTTGTAATGCCTTCTGGTTATTTTGGAACATATTTAGCAAACCACTTCATAAACAGATTTAGGTTCTTCAGTACTATGCACTGCAAAACTTGCAGTGAAGAAAATTACAGCTAAAGATCCTCCTGGATTGTGCTGCTCCTCCTAGAACTCCGCCAGGTATCTGCGGGCCTCCATGAGGCGCTTCGTGCGACTCTGCAATGCATCCCTCTTGTTGCCGATATCGTAGTCCTCCTTCAGTAGGAAGTCCACATTTTCCTTGTCCTGAAGCATCTGCAGCATTTCCCTCTGTAGCTGGATGGCAGACTGTTGCAGCATCTCGTAGCGGATCACCAGGGGGACCTGGTCGGCCAGACGCATTCCGGCAATCTGCCACAAAAAAAATGGACAAAATGGTTTAAGACTATCCTTTTGTAGCTTGAGTATGCAAAGTTAACCTTTTGTGTACATAAATGAATCCAACTGTGTGGAATGAATAATTTTCAACTAGTTGAGTGATCTCAGTTAAGAATCAGGAGAGTTAAATTTCTCAGAATTGAGGTTAATTGAGTATCAACCAATGATAATTACAGTTCAATTAAACAATAGAGTAAATTCACTGGGATAAAGCCATAGACAATGTACAGATTAACACCCTACGTCCTGTCAACCTTAAGACATTACTAACAGCTTTTTATGGATGGACTTTGACTCATTCACATTCAGATATTGAGCACAGCTTTTATCAAGGTGAAACAACACAAAGGAAATATTAGTTTGGGAATCCTCCGACATCAGTTGCATGTGAGAATTTGTTGCAGCAACATGACACAGGGGTATTGAAAGTTGTTTGGATGAAAAAAACAAACATTTAAATGAGATCCAATCTGAAGTGTTTGAACCTGTCATTTAAATCTTACTTACTTTGTAGTATGATTTTAGATGCACCATCAGCTCTTGAAGTGTTGCGTGATTGTCCATGCAGAACACCGTGCTCCTTGATGAAAGGGTGGGTAGTTTGGTTTTGATGGGGTAGTTCTCTTCCTCCTCTTCACTCTTGCTCTCACTCAGACTGTTACTGTAGGTCTTATCCTGGGAGTAAACCAGCAGCTCCATCTGAAACTGGGTCCTCAACATCAGTTCAGCAGAGGATTCCTTTAGCTGCTTAATGGCCTCAATCTTTGCCTGCGAAATGAACATCTGCATTTTAATTTGACCAGAACAGTGAAACGAATTAAGAGAGCAGAAATGCTGTGACTCGAGCTGCAGTGCGGTTTTTCCTCAGTCTTCACTAAACCGCTACCTTGGTTGTTTTCAAAAGATTGGGGAATCCTGTGAAGCTGGTTTGGGCCAGCTGCGTGAAGGTTTTCTTGATAGCATCTAGAAGAAACAGAGAGGAAAAAAAAAAGAAGAAAAAGTTGCTTTATTTTTATTCCTCTGTGGTTGTGTTGGAAACACAAAACAGTAATAATGACGAAAACGTGTAGGTGAATTTTCTTTCCTCTGTGTTTACATTCAACTTGAGCGGTCTTGAAAACTTAGTGAAGCTTTAGATAAAAACGCCACAAGCACAATACAAATATACAAATGTGATGTCATATGTACCACTATTCTATTTTAGCGCTCAAAACATAAAATAGTCTTTTTTCCTACACAGTCAAATTCAGTTCCAATCGAGCTTCATTAAAGACAGAATTATGATCAATAGTATAGATAAATAGAAACTCATAATACTACTAATAAAAAGACTACATCACATATTGTTTCCTCATATAGGTAGGAACATCAGTGCCTCCACATTAGATGTACTCCTAACCCAACATATCCAAGGATCAGGCTGATATAATGCAGTTCTACTGATCTGTGTTATTACTGTAATATCGCAACAACAACAAAACAAGTTGTCTTGAAGTTTTGCCCCATGCTTTCTGACTTTGTTGCACGATTTATAGCTTTTTCCTTTACAGATTTAACACTGATTCAGGACTACATAAAGTCTACCTCTGCATTGTAGCTACGCTAAAAGAAGTGCCTCCAATCACCTCCGACATCCTTCAGCTTCCTGATGGCTGGTTCTTCCAGCTGTCTGATCTGCTCCTTCACCATCACCTCGAAGGTCTTGTAGTTGATGAAGCCTGGTAGCTCTCTTCCACGGTACCGCTCCTCATATTCCTCCACCTCTCTTTCAATTTTTCTGTTAACTGCACCACAGAGGACATGTCACACACGTCATGTCATTGACTCACCGCTGTGCCCCTGCTTAGACGACAACAAACTCGAAGACGCTCACAATTTTCCCCTGAGTTGTCCAGGTGCGCCTTCCACTTCCCAAACTCTCTCCTGAGCACAGTGAAGACGTTGAGTCTCTCCCCGCACTTCAGCTCCTCCCCTGTGGTCAGACTGATGGCATCCTGGGTGAACGCCGTCACTTTCTGTGGCGTTACAGGAGTTTAAGTGTTTTGTTGGAAGGATAACGCGCAACCAAGCGTTAGTCACAGTGCAGGGCGCTCACGTCGATCAGGAAGACGAGTCTCTCCGCCGCGTCGGATGGAGGTCCGTTACCGTACCGGTCGAGCTCCATCTGAGTCTGCTTCAGCTTCTCGTCTATCTGCTCTTCCAGTCTTGGGAGAGATTTCTGTAAAGTCAAACTTCCAACCGTTAAAAACTGAAACATTCAGCGAGCAGCTAACATTGAGGTAACGCCTCACCTCGATGTGATGCACCAGCTCTAGAGTAAGTTTCTCCGCCAGAACGGGAATGGTTGCAAGTTCTTTGTTGTACAAAGTGCTGCAAAAAGAATTGAAAAGATAAAACATTTCACAACATGCAAAGTCTACCTGGTGGCACAAGAAGATTTAACTTACTGGAAATAGGGGTGATTTTTAAAGAAGTCTTTCTCTCTCTCAATGGCTTCAGACAGAGACACCTTCTCTGTGATCTCCTTCTGGCCTCTGCATTTGACGATCATGTAGCCTTTCTTCAGCTGGATGACTTCGTTGTTGACTATTTCCACCACTGTCTCTTCCGTGCCTTTGTCCACCAAGTCAGGTTTGGTCAAAATACCTGAGAGCAAGAGAATTTATAAGTTTTTAACTGCTTAACTGAGAGCCAGGTGGCCATTTTACACAATAATTTCTATTTACCCAGAGTCCTCTCTCCATCAGGATCAACCTGTTGAGCCATCTTCAAAGCCTCTGTGGTCGCGATGTCCACATTGGATGGAACCACCACCAAACTGATGGTTTCTTGTTTTCTAATAAACTTTTCGATGAGTCGCTTTATCTGAAATGTTCCACATATATCGCCTAAGATTTACAGTATAAAAAATGGCGCATGGCAACACACTTGGTCGAGGTGATCTAAACTGAAAGCTTGCTCTACAGCAGCAGATTTCCTGTCCAACCTCTCAGGTTGGGAAAAAATAATCACGAAACGTCTGAATTTGACGTCACTTTAATGCTCCTCTAACATTCTTTGAACAATTTACTCGGAAAGAAGCAGATTCCGAGGAAAAATGAACAATGCTGACCTGATCACCGATGTTTTCTGGTTGTCCCTTTACAGCCACCCTGGCGATGCCAGGAAGGTCGATGAGAGTCAGGTCCGGCACTTCCGGGGAAGCAATTTCCAGAGTGATGAGGTCATCGCAAATCCCCACTCCGACTCCGGCCATTTCATCCTGTGCTGGAGAGAGGAAACAAAGGCGGTCGTCCTGGTGAGTGAACCAAACAACGTAACGAAATTGCTTTGATACTTTTACCAGAAAAATGCAATGTTGTACCTTCTCTAATTTTTTTCTCCACAACTGCAGGATCATTTAGCTCCTCCTCAAATTCTTGGTAACTAATCTTTCCATACCAATCCTGGCCTTCTTTCCTTCTCTTCATCTTCAGCTCGAGAGGACATCTTGTGACGATGCCTGGATTAAAGATGAGTCAAAGACAAGACAAGACAAGTTAAGGCAAATACAGTGAGGCTTGTGACCGTTTGACTAACATAGTTTGAGTTATAAGTTTATATAGACCAAAAAAATATATAGATGTCTTTTTTGAAACAGCCGGACTGCAGTTTGCAAATGCTCACTGGTACAAACACCTTTATTTTTGGAGGCATGTTGTCTGGTTGGAGGAAACTAAAGTGGAACTGTTCGTCTCAAATGGCCACTGCTTCATATGAAGGAAAAAGGAGAATATAAATCTGAGAGCATCACCCAGTGTGGGGACTTCTGCATCATGTTGCGAGGTTGTTTTGCAACTGGTGCACTTCATGAAATAGATGGCACCATCTATTGTATGAAATAAAACAGATGCTATCCAACTATGCGTCGTTATGTTATGGGGAAATACTGAAGCATCAATCAGAAAGTCAAAGCTCATCTGTGAATGGTCTTCCCAATGGAGAGTGAGCTCAAGTCTGCAGCCAAAGTGGCTATAAAGTGACTTAAAAGCAAGTATGGCATCTATAGATTACCTGATGTCAGTTCCACAGATCTGAAAAGGTGTGTGAGTGAAACCAGACAAGGTGTTTACCTCATTCTTGTAGAATTAAATAAAAATAAGTCCTTCTCTAGTTCTAGGTCACCTAAAACAGTGGGAGCTTGGTCTGATTGAACTTCAGATGGTTAAATCAGAGAAAAACAGAGAACTAGGCAGAAATACACTCAAAACTGGAACATGAGATTTTTTGTTGAGATAACTCGGTACATCTTGTTTTGTGAATTACTTTTTGGACTTTAACGGGATTTGCATATTTTTAAAACCTTTCAACAAACCTACGATCATGTTCAAAATTATGATATTTGCAACATTTTTTTTTCTTTATTAAAACCATAGTTTTATTTCGGCTACAGCCATCAAATGACTTTTCACCACCCACCGCTTCCTCTCGGCAGCGCCACCCCGGACAGCGCCTCCAGCACCGAACTCTTCCCGGAGCTCTGGTCCCCTATCACGGCTATGGCAGGCAGCGCCAGGTCCTTCTCCACCCCCAGAGAGCGCAGGGAGTCGATCAGGTCGATGCAGGGTCGCACCTTCTCCTCGTAGTGTTGATTCAGCGTAGTCATTGCTTCTGGTTTGAGATCCGACAGACAGTTCCGCGGCTGAGAGCAAGTTTTGCGTGCTGCCCGTTTGGAAAGACGGAGAGCACTGGCTGGCTGCCCTGCAGAAGCAAAGAAAAAACAACCCCCCGCCCCCGGATTTTTAAGTTTCGTTTCCCAGCATCGCAGGAGACTGAGGGAGTGTCAGGAGGAACACTGCGGTCCGCCGGCCGGAAACCTTTTATTTATTTGTTGTATTAGTTTCGTTTCTCCCCCGCTGCAGTCGGCGAGTCAAACGAAACTTACAGCCTCGCAAAATTAGGGATCGTTTTCCATTTGCGTCACAACAAAGGGTGGTGCAATTGCAATTAGTTTGAGCCTCAATCTGGACCCTCACCTTCTCCATGTCATTTAAATGAGAACACTGGCGCACAGAGTGCTCATTGCACCCATTTTATGAAACTGAGCAGAAAATCCACTTTTCTCCAAGGATGTTTCTAGCCCACGGTGCTAGGAACAATTTTGTAATTATTCCTAATTGCAGAGTAATCTTTTATTTTAAACAATATCCCAATATTGTTTAAAATGAAATATTTAATAAATGTTAAAGGCTTGCATATTATATATTCCTCTTTGGTTATGCCTTATTTGTCTTATTGTTCAGAAATCTGGGGAAATGGAAGTAAAACAACTATTGAAATGTTAGTTAAGCTGCAAAAAAAAAAAAAAAAAAAAGCTGTAAGGCTAATTAATAAAGTGGGATACCAACAGATAAACTTTTTAGTCAAAGTAATATTTAAAAATTTAAAGATATTGTTTATATAAAAATACTGGAAGTAATGTTTAAAGCATTGAACAAAAGTCTTCCTTCAGGTATTCAGAAATTATTTAAATTAAGAGAGAACAAATATAATTTGCGAGGTTTGTTTATATTTGAATGTGCAAAAGAGAAGAGCCAGAAAAAGTCTAGATGTGTTTCAGTTATTGGTGTGAAACTGTGGAATGATCTGAATGATGAACTTAAGTTAAGTCCTTTTTTAGTGAACTTTAAAGGAGCTTTAAAATGTAAAATGATAAAATCTCACGTTATTATTTAGATTTATATATGTATTGTGAAAATATCCTTGTCGGTTATAGGGTAAAAAAAGGCAAGACTAAGCTTTGCTTTAGCCTATTCCTTTTTTGGTAAATTGTGGATTATTTATTGTTCATTGTTATTTCTTTGTTGTTTCAGGTGATGTGGACAGTTTACCAAAATAAAATAACTGAACTAAGCACTAAAACTAAAACTAAAACTTTGGAAAGTGTACTTTCAAAGTACTTTTTAACAAGCTCAAAATGATAATACTATGAAAAAGTTTGAGTCATAAAACTCATTCTAATGAGAAACTAATGCAAGGTCTGGCTCCCCACCAAGAAGCTGGACGAGATGCTCCTACGAAGCTGACAAAATTGGAATTTTGTGTTCCAATTTTTAATTGGAAGTCAAGTTTTGTAGTTGGTCACGCAAAAAAAAAAAAAAAGAGAGAGAAACTGTTTGAAATTAAAAACAGTAACATCAGCAGTTGGAATACATTTTACAGCTGACAGGGTTAGGGACCACAGTTAGAGGCGAACAGCAAAGATTTGAGCCTCGAGGCAGGATTTCTGCAAATAAATTACTCACCATTTATGATGGCTCACTGATCAAACATACCCTGTTGAATTTGTGCGTGTCTGCTAGTAAGAGTTTGTTCTGTACGCGAACAAACTTTTCAGCGCTCATTGGATATTCTCCATGAAAACAACACACATATTGATCTGATGTAAAAAGGGGGTCAGCGACAAATGATTTTGTTGTCCATTTTGTTTATTATTTCGCCAGAACAAAAGGCTTACATAAGTGATTTTAAGTCTCCATATTTAAGTCTACATTTCAAAGTGAAGCAGCTTCATTATGTTTTCTTCTGCTTAACAATCAAAGCAAAAGATTTAGATCTATAGCAAAGATTTTAAATGACAAAAACCTCTTTTTGAAAGTGTGGACATTTCTATTAGTTCTATTTACAGAAAATAAACCACGCAGAAAAACCTCGCAAAAGTAAAGCCAAGAACATAGGACTACGGTGCAAAACTTTCCCTAGCTGTTCAAAAACTAACGTTTTTCGATTTCACGCAACACACTAAGCTTCTGTTGTGCTGAAGTCGTATATGTTCATGCTGAATTCACTGAGCAGGATGCGTGCCTTGGAGAGACGCTTGATGGAGTTGTGCAGGAGGATTCTGTGGTCTTTTATGCCTCCGTCCTCCTGGAGCAGCAGCTCCATCTTCTCCCTGTCTTGAAGCATCTGCAGCATGTCTCTCTGCAGCTGAACGGCAGACTCCTGCAGCATCTGGTACTGGATCACCAGGGGGATCTGGTCGGCCAGACGCTGACCGGCAATCTGTGGTTGACGGAGGAGAGAGAGTAGCGGAGTAAGACGTAGCTCTTGAGCTTCGTAGGAGCATCGCGTCCAGCTTCTTGGTGGGGAGCCAGACCTTGTATTAGTTTCTCATTAGAATGTGTTTTATGACTGAAACTTTTTCACAGTATTATCATTTTGAGCTTGTTAAAAAGTACGTTGAAAGTACACTTTCCAAATAGATGTTACTTTTTTACAACTAGTATCTTTTCTGATGTGTCAAAATAACAATACCCAATCTAATCTCTGGTATTTGCTCCTGGAGCTAATAAAGCCTTTACTATTGTAGTTTCTGACTGGACTGTGGTGTTTTTGTCTATGTACAAACCGTTCAGAAGCAAAATGTTTAGAAGACATTTTTTTCTTTTTTAATATTCTGTCTATTTTCATTCATACAAACTGCAAAACTGTATCATGGGTCAGGCCCATTATTTTCTTAATCTGACAAACACACAAGAAAAATGAAAACTCGTTCAATTAATCACGACATATTTAAATAAAACTGTGTATAGCATGTTAATAGATACAAGCAATGCAAAAGTAATAATTTTGTTGCTGTTCACTGGCTGAAATGAAAGATCTGGTTTCAATAACACGCAAAATGGTTTGATTAATCGCTAAATGGGCAGAAGTCTTAAGTAAGCCTTACTTGGTAGTAAGATTTCAGATGTCTCATCATCTCCTTCAGGTTGGCTCCGATTTCATTATTGATGGGGCTTTCTTCTCTCTTCCTCTTCCCCAACTTCTTGCTGTATCTGCAGTCTTGAGTGTAGACAATCAGCTCCATCTTAAATTGGGTCCGCAGCATGGACTCCGCCAAGGCTTCCCTGTCGTTGGCGATGGCTTCGATCTTCATCTGAAACACACGTGAGGTTTCCTGAGGACATGCTGTCCACTCCTCTATGAGGTAAAACAAAACTATTTGGAATTACTGGAAACCCTGCATAAATATGTAATGAATTTACAGTGCTAAAAATATTGCATTCAATAGAGCATGTGGTGCTCTTGTCAAACTTGCTTCGACTCGATGTGTGTGAGAAATACACATGGGGAACTCCAATGATTTGCATTGACGGCAAAATGTAATGCTTCCTGGCTTTCTCAATTGTTGAGTATGAGATGACGTTGTGTCTTTGTGTTTTTATGATATAAAGCACTTTGACCTGCCTTGTTGCTGAAAAGTGCTGTACAAATAAACTTGAGTGATTGATTATTGGTATGGTACAGTACACGGTAACAGAAAACCTTCTCATATGGTCCCAGCTGTCAAGAGACTTGGGGTGGGTGTGGTAGCGTGTATATGATCTTTCAGTCTCAGGATCTTTGGCTGATTCATGTCTGGCTCTGTGCCTATCTCCCATCATATGATTACCTGCTGAGGATTTAATGAACTATGAAACAACCAGTGTGTCTGACGACCAGCCATTCTGGTTGATCAGCCGTTGCTCGTCCCTTACCTACTGAGTAGAAACTGTTTATGATTCCTGTTTTTTTGCTCCTGTTTACTTCTCATTCATGTCCTCTCTCACTTCTAAATGGTCTCTTCTCCAGACCCCAGTTGAATCCAGAGACCAAGACTCCCTTCGTTGAGTAGTTATTGTTGAAAAATTGCTATTTTTTTAACCAAAAAAAAAAACAGTTAACTGGACATGTGGCACCCTCTGGAAGCCTTTTGAGAATTTATCTTTAAACTCTAACAGCAATACCAAAGCTTCAACAAGATCCACAGAGCTATCTGAAGTACATGTACATTTACCATTTAACTGTTATTCCAGCTTTTCAAGTTCACTTAATCGATCAAATCAAGATCATTCATTTACAAAAATGTCTGAATGTATTGAAAATGTTGATCTATGACATGAACAAGAACAACAAAAGACAATACCTTAGCAGTTCTGATAAGGTTAGGCAGGCCAACCAAGCTCCTCTGGGCCAATCCAAACAGCTCTTTCTTCACAAGTTCTTTGGATAAACAAAGCAAACAATAAGTTTAAAATTGTATGCAAAGTCTGAGAAATTATTTGTAGTTCATTACAATCACCCTAATTTGATGAAGTGCGTATATGTTTGAATTGCTGCAAGTTCAACTTCAGACCTTTCAAAACCCTTTAATCATTAAAATGTTTTTTTTAACCAAAATTACCTATCAAAAAGAAGCAAAATAAAAAGGGTTTTTCAATCATATGACATAAGTAATTTTAACTTTTTCCCCTTCTGTATTTAGCAAGTAGGTTACTAACAAAGTTTTTTTTTAACTCCTCCAACTATTAAGATACTTTAAATATTTGAAATACAAACCAGCCCCGCTACACACTTTCCTACGTTAAGCCAGCAACCTAGCAACAATGTTTTGATTTTAAACACACTAAACCAGTTCGATAAGCAGAATCCTTTTAAGAATGGCTCGTTGTTGGAGAAACACAATACAGAACACATAAGTCATAAGTCTGATATACATCATGTTTCTTGTTCACAACTTCCAAAATGTACAGACGCCATGTTGTCTTTGTTCGATACACTTTCAATTTGGTTTTTCGGACAGAATGTGTCAGATGTCACAGATGCACAACACAGATGCACAACATAATTTATGTAACACCCATAGAAAACATCTTAGCATATTTGTGGACTAAAAATACCTGAACTTATTTGACTACATGAAATGTAGTCAAATGTGTCTTATTTGATTACATGCAATGTAGTCAAATAAGTCAAGAAGACCAGAAGACGGGCAGAAGACGGGCAGAAAAGATCCCACAGGGAGACGTGGGTTATTTTGAGCTTCATTTTAGATCTTTTCTGCTTTCTTCCACATAACTAAACATATAACCCCAGGATATCAGCGATCTGAGGCGAGAATCTATACATGCACAGAAGCAGACACCATGATATTATCTGCAATCGAATCACCTCTATTACTCAGTGCAGCCCTTCAGTTGGTTGCCATTCTCCATGCATCAAGGAAGGCCGGTAATGTACCGTGTGGTCAAAAGTGTCCTGATGAGACTCATCTCAACAGAGCAAAATACAGAGCTGGAGAAGAGTCATTGAAACTGAATAGTCTCATCTTGTATTGGGACGGTAGGAGATTCACCAATCAGAATTTTGTGGCTGATATCCAATATCCTATTTTTGTTGATATTGACCTTTTTTATTTTTTTTACCTATTTCCTATATCGAGGTTCTTTGTTGCAAATTTAGATATGACGATGACTGAAGTCTTGACAACTCACCGATTATGAGCCGTCCTATGGCTCTAATATTTCTAAAAAATAGACAAACTGATGATGCTGTTAGTCACTTGACTGAATAAGAAATTAATTTGTAAAAATTAACTGATGGAGCAAAAATCCCCAAAAAAGCCAACACTGAATGTTTTTCACTAAGTAGCAGAGTCCAGATTTAAGGATGCTGCTAGGTGAGTTGTGTGTGTGTATTGATTGACTGGACAAGTCAAGTCAGGCCAAGATGAAATCAACCAATTGCGGTCATCACCCAATTTCTCTGTGCATCTCCAGTGTTTGAACTCACTGGAACATCACAAATCGCATACCTGTCACCTCCTTGAGTTTTGTGATTGCAGGCTCCTCCAGCTCCTTGATCTGCTCCTTCACCATGGCCTCAAACGTCTTGTAGTTGATGAAGCCTGGGAGCTCTTTCCCGCGGTACTTGCGTTCGTACTGAGCTACCTCCTTCTGAATATTCCAGTTGACTGCAAGAAAATCCAAAGTAAAATCGCATCATGTAGTACCTAGAGCTCCACAATCAGAAAACAAAAGACCAGATTATCTTTCAGAGACGTTTCAACGGCTTGTAAATCTCTTACATGTTGTTCCGGAGTTATCAATAATTGTTTTCCAAACAGCAAACTGTTGTCTGAGTATGGAGAAGATCTTGGACTTGTATCCGCATTTTATGTCCTCCCCTTTGCTGAGGTAAATGGCATCCTGTGTGAATGCCGTCACCCTCTAAAATAAAACGATGGAATAAAAAAACAAACTGAGCTTCGTAACACTTTTACTATGTAAAAACCGACAGTCGGCCATTAAACTCACATCGATAAGAAAACCAAGTCTCTCAGTGCAATCAGTCGGTGGTCCACAGCCCATTTTGTCCAACTTTGCCTGAGTCTCTTTAAGTTTAGTCTCCATCTGCTTTTCCAGTTCAGGTAGAGATCTCTGTAGATTGTAGGATTGGGTGAAACTAATGGTTAAAATATCTAAAGTCATTCAAAGGTAGCTTATTAATTTATTATAAGAGAAATATTGACCTGGATGTGATTCACAAGCTCCAGTGTGAGTTTCTCTGCTAGTTTTGGGATGGTGGCCAGACCATCGTATAACAGAGTCCTTATAAGAAAAGCAATGCATGTTACATGTTATGTTACATGTTATTCTGCAGCCTAAATCAAGTTGCTTTGTAAAATTCTCAAAATAAATACACTTACTGGAAATGCGAATGATCGTTAAAGAAGGCGTTCTCTCTCTCGATTGCTTCGGCAAGAGACAGTTTCTCTAAAATCTCCTTCTGGCCCCTGCATTTGACGATCATGTAGCCCTTCTTCAGAGGGATGACTTGATTGCGGACTGTTTTCACCACTGTCTCCTCTGTGCCTTTGTCCACCAGGTCAGGTTTCGTCAGGATACCTGAGCGACAAGGGAGGACTTAAGCACTGAGGGGATTTTATGAGTTGTTAGGAGATTTTGCAAAAATAATTTCCATTCACCCAGAGTCCTCTCTCCAAAGGGATCAACCTGTTTAGCCATGTGCAAAGCCTCGGTGGTCGCTATGTCCACATTGGATGGAACCACCACCAGACCGATGGTCTCCTGTTTTTTGATGTACTTCTCGATGAGTCTCTTTATCTGAAAATTCCAGTTGAAATATCTTAAACGTGCTAAATGACAAGTTTGACAAATTATTTGTTTAGCTTGTCAAACAGCTAAACCCTTTTCACCCTATAGGCAACACCCCTGAGGAAATGTAAGAGACTGACCTGATCACCGATTCTCTCGTGCTGTCCTGCCACAGCCACCCTGGCAATGCCAGGCAGATCGATGAGAGTCAGGTCGGGAACATTCGGGGAGGAGATTTCCAGAGTAATGAGTTCCTCGCTGATCCCACTACCCTTTCCAGCTATTTTGTTCTGTGCTGGTCAGCGAGAAAATACGCGGACGTTCTCGTGAGTAAACCCTTTCAGCAAGAAATTTCTGAACAACAAAATGTTGTACCTATTTTAATTATTTTCTCCACAGTTGCGGGATTATTTATCTCCTCCGTGTGTTCTTGGTAACTGATCTTTCCATGCCAGTCCTGACCTTCTTTCCTTTTCTTCATCTTCAGCTCGAGAGGACATCTTGTAACAATGCCTGCACCAATGATGAGAGTCAACAACAAAAGAGAGGCAGCATATTCATTGTACTGTAAATCTGAGCGCTGCTCTTTTCTCTGTGTGTGAGCTAAATGAGGACAGTGCCTGACTGTAACTGGTTATAAGAAAGGTAAGTCATAACTATGAGATTTTTTTCATCCAAGTGGTGGAAATGGTCTTCAAATAGACTTTCGAATGTACTTATCCGCTTACACGTAAACGCAGCTTGTGAAACTGATCATAGGCTACCTCAGAGGCAAGGACTATGGGGCCTAGTCAAAGTTTCTCCTTTACGCTCTGTTTGAAATAGCCAAGAAATACAAATAAAAGGATGGACACCCTCCCCCCTTTCCCTTCTAATTCTGCATAAATATATGAGCAACTGCTTCAAAGTATAAAAATCAGTTAACGATCTCACTTTGTTTCTTAATGTTACCATTTCCACAGAATGTGACTTTTCACCACCCACCGCTTCCTCTCGGCAGCGCCACCCCGGACAGCGCCTCCAGCACCGAACTCTTCCCGGAGCTCTGGTCCCCTATCACGGCTATGGCAGGCAGCGCCAGGTCCTTCTCCACCCCCAGAGAGCGCAGGGAGTCGATCAGGTCGATGCAGGGACGCACCTTCTCCTCGTACTGCTGGTTCAGAGAGTTCATTGCGTCTCGTTAAAACGCAGAGACGTTCGCGGTGGGGACGCTGTCGCTCGCTGGCTGGTGAAAGCCCACACTGCCAGTGGAACAGGAAAACAAGCAGAGGCTGGTCAGGTTAGGTTTCCTTTTCCTTGGTACGTTTCGTTTCCGTGCAGGTTTTTGTTGTCAAAGCCAGAAGTCAATTCTGCTCACTGTCGTTAATGTAGTGCAGGATGCAAGACGTTATTTATCTGGTTTCAGTTTTATGTTGCAGACTTTTTTATATTTTTGCATTGATAGAAAATATTTACAAGTATTTCTGATAGGACATTAGCCACGCATATACCCCAAAAGCTATAATGAAACAAAATAAAGGAAGATGAAGTAAAAAATAAAAAGAAAATCTTTATTAACATCTGAATAAAAATTGCGTTTTGAATTTTTTATTTTATTTTTTTAAACCCGTCTCAATTGTTCATGGAGAAATCTTTCTCCATAAGTTCTGATGGTTGCGTGATTTCAGGTGATGACATATAGCTATGACTCATACTCCACCCGTTATGTGATCCTATGCGAGTTCGTGCATTAGGACAAATGAGTTGTTGGTTTTTTGCAGCCCATATTGCAGAGAGCTCTCCAGACATTGCATGTACTTTGGAAAGCATGCAGAGACAGGCATGCTTTCCAACATTCTGCAGAACGTCACCGATCCCGCACATTGTGATGATTGTGTTTCAGTGTCTTGTACAGTGATTCATGCAAGAACCACCGCTACTGCTTAAGACGTACAATTTACTATATCAGTCAACTGACTGACTGAGTTACTCTTTAGATAGATTTTTTTTTCTACATTGGTGTACACAAACACAGTCACGCTGATTTACTTCACCAGCTTTTGTGAATGGCCCCACCTGCTGGTCACACACGAAACTGTCACAAGTTTTCAAATTTGGGATTTTTTGAAATGTATTTTATTTTACATCGTTTTCCACTTATTGTTTTGTTTTGTATTGTGAGTGTTAATAATACATCTGTTTTCCAATTAGCATAGACTGAACTCCAGAAGAAACACAAGTTGTTTCAGCTGAAACCGAGGCTGAGCAACAACTTCTCCTGAAAAGAGACGCAAAGATGAGCCACAGAACAAAGTTGTCCATCTTTATTGGTGAGTTACGGACTTATGCATGTTAGATATGAGTGGCAAACCGTGTTTAGACTTTTCGATACCAGTGCAAGTCACATGCTCAGACGGTCAAAACACAAGGGCTGGAAATATCATATTAAATTAACAGGAAACCAAGCATCCCATTCAACGGTCGTGACTTTATAACACTTGAACGGAACAGACGTTTGTACAAAGCTTCATAGTGTCACATTTTTTGGTCATAACTATGGCATTTAGGTGCTTTTTGCAGGGCTTTCATTGTGTGTATGACCAGAGAGAAAATGCATTTGAAATGTGTGTTTTAAGTAAAAAGGAGACAAGTTCTCAAGGTAACTTGTATGAAGAGTGGCTTCTATAGTTTACATCTTAAAATATTCTTAAAATTGCATGATAGGATCTGTGCAGGAGAAAATAAACATCGGAAGTCAGCGCGAACGGCCGAAGTTGCATATATTGTAGGTTTCTTGTACAAACCTATTTTTTGTGGAGGATTTTGCAGAATGCATTTTGTTACTTGTGATTTTATTTTATTTTATTTTTTACTTATTGGCATTATCAGACAAAATGTCAAAGAGTTGCAGCTGTAAAATAATAAAAAAAACAAAGTAGGAAAAAAACACCTGGATTATGAATATTATTGGACTTAAAGAAACGGCTATTATCAAAATATATTCGTCATTACAAGAAAAAACATACCTCAATACCTGATTAGCTATCGGTGATGTGTCAGAGCAGAGTAAGTTTTGTAAACTTTTACACTTAGAATGCATGTTTTATCTTTGTTTTTTGTTTTTCCTGGATTCACAGAGACCTTACTAGCACACAACGTCATGCACTTTAAAACTTTTACAAAGAGCACTTCTCCATCCGACACAGAGTGCAAACAAACTACTAGAACAGAGACGGCCGGTCAGAAACAGAACAAGTCGATAATCGAGCACGGAGAAACTGTAATGCGTTTCGAACTACTAGAAAGACAACAATCAGCTAACACAACCTCTGAAAGAGAAAGGGCGAGGGACTACGTCTAATCATTTGTTCTACGATACACAACTCGATTTCTTTTTTTATTTTTCAAATCTACAACAGGTGCACTCTGACTCCTTATGGCCGTCTTTCTTTTTCAACAGCATGCCCAGCCCCTGATTGCCTTTGTTCGAAGATGCCGGAAGACAAGTGGTGGCTACATCTGATTGGAGTAGGAGGTGGGCCCTCCCACCTGGCTGTATTCGGACGGCTGGTCGAAGCTCCCCTGGGTGTTGTAGCTTCCCGACTGGTCAAAGCCGCCCTGGTTGTAGGGCTGCTGGTCGAAGGTGCCGGCCTGTTTGTCGGGCGCGCTGCCTGCCAACCTGGAGCCACCCTTGTGCCAGCTGGTCTCCTTGAAGACAAACCAGATGTTTCCAGCCCACAGAACGAAATTGAGAAATCCAAACACCTGAGGGAAACAAAAAGAAGCAATCATGAATCTTGACTCATAAACTCTGTTCCCCCGCCCAAACTATAAGCATGCTACATTGTAGAAATAAATGACAAATACATCCACTACACATAATGTATCATGTGCAAAACTAAAAATTTGGTCTACTATATGATACAATGCCCATGCAACGAAGTCCTCTGCAATAATGTGTTAATGAATATAATAGATCAGAAGGAGTGACTCAGACACTTTAATGAAATAGCTCACCTTTTATTCTGATATTAACAGAATTTAATCTGAAACTTTAACTCTAAAAGAAAAAAAAATCTTGTTTCTTTTCTGGTTTCCCAGCATAACAGGATACATGGTTTTTAAGCCCTACCACTGAGGTGTTGAGCCCAGACCACCGAGGCCCGTGCAAAGAGGCGCACTTGTTCGTCGGGTCTTTACAGGCTGGGATGAGAAGCTGCACCTCGTCCGGATCAGTGGCCACCTTCACATCGGACAGGGCCTTGGCCCAAGCAGAGGAGCTGACCAGCCACATGAAGGAAAACACCACTGTCACCACAAAGTCCTGAGGGAAACAAAGAAGAACTCAGTTTCAGACTCACTGAATAAAAAAAACTTTTTCATTTTTTCGTTGGTCAGGAAAAATGTATTTTCAACAGTGCTTTGCATTCACTTATAAGAACAGCTGATGTAAGATGTGAAGGAACAAGTAAGAGCTTATCGTACTCACGATGAGCGGTCTTTGGCTGTTTTCGCGGTACTTATTGAGGAAGAAAATGTAAACCACAGTGGCCACGAGAGAATACAGGAAGGAGAAAACGGCAATGGTGACGAAGAACTCAGCAGAGGAAGAGTAATCTCCGGTGAGGAACACACGCTCCGTCCTCATGGCCTCACACATGGGTGCTTCAAATGACACTTGGTGCAACCTGCCGCACACAAAGGGATGTTGTACTTCATTATCACACATGGATATTAAAATACGCCGTCTCGGCTCTGAGACAATATTGCGACTCTAAACAACGAAGAACACTGCCCAACTCATGACACGAGAGGGAATGTGCTCAACACTCACCTGAAAGGATAACCAAAGTCAATGCCGATGTTCAGGTCGCTGCTGGCCTTCTCCATGCAGTCCACACTGATCCTGAGCTGTCCTGAGTAGCCACCACATGTGGCGAAAGCGAAAATGGCAAAGAGCTGCAGAGACACATCAACATCTAAGAAACACTGACCAAAGCAACGCATTCAAAGGATGAGAGAGCATATAAGAAGTAAATCCTGGGAGAAAACCTGCAAGAGATTACAAAGGACAGTGCTCTAGATCCACATTACAGCAGGACAGGAACGATTCAACGTGAAGCTTCAATCGATTAGTTGAGAACAAAGCAGTTTAGTGATGTGGAACAACGGCCTAGTCAAAAAGTAGAACTCAAGCCAACTGGGAATCCATGGCAAACTTGAAAATTGTCTGTGAATTAGCTCTGGATAATCCACATCTGTGGTCTAACTAAGCTACAACTAAAAACACTAGGTCTCTACATGCCACTGCACCGTCACAAATGATTCAAAAGACACATGAATGCTTTTGAAAGGCACTGTCTGCAAAAAAATAAATAATAATAATAAAATGACATTGAAAACATCTATTTCTGATACTTTAGGCATTTCAGGAAATGTGCAAAAAAATGTAATAACAATAGATTTTATCTCAGGACTCCTTGGGAAGGTTTTTTTTAGATGTGGATTAAAGTTCCATTAGAAGTGTGAACAGAAGAAAAAACCAACAATCAGTTTTTCTCCTCAAAGCAGAGACTTGTGAACTACTTCACACAGGTAAAACTGAAGGGCAAAGGCCAATTGTCAAAGCCAGAAGCCAGAACCTTCTTCTAAATTAACAAACACACACACACGCACGCACCCCCGCACCCCCCCCCCCACACACACACACATTTCCTGCCCTCAGTTTGCTCTCTTAGCCTAGTTGTCCATAGAAACTCCCCACTGCCTCAAGAGTTCTCAAAGCCATAATCACCATAATCAGAGCTGATGCCCGGTTTGCATGAACTACCCATATCGTAGGCAGCTGGATGTGCAGCTTGCCAACATCCGGAAATGCAGTTTATCTCTCAGTCTGAGTGAACCTGGGCCACTGGAGGGCGCTGTGGGATCAGTGACAAGAAGTAGCTGTGCTCAAATGTATGCCTGCCATCTCAGAGACAAAACTTAAACACAGAGTCAGTATCGCTTCAAATTTGAGTTAAATATCGAATGCTTAGTTGATCCTCTGGACGTGTACCAGGCCCGAGACTGAAACACCAGGAACCGCAGAGTGACCATAACAGACGTGGGCAGCACACCTTCAGCAAGTGGCGTTCAGCGCTGACACAGTTCAGGATCTGGACGGTAAAATAAAGCAGTGAATTAAGCAGATTGCTGCCATGTTCATGCCTTGAATCACTATGCAACCATAAGACATAAACATAATATTTCCTTAATTCAACCTTTTATTAAAATGAAAACCTACACA